GTATATGTAAGTGTTACAACATCAGAGAAACTGGAAGGGAATATATTCAAAACTTACATTCTGTGCTTGCAAAGAAGAAAAAATAGGATTTGTCACAAGATGTTTGGAGATGGACTAACGACTAAATATAGCAAACATAAAAGATATAGCAAACAAAAGCAATCACTTAAAAAATGATTTAATTTAATTTTTTTTTTTTTTTTTGGAAAAAGAGTTAATTAACTCATCATGAAAATTTTATTTATAATTGCTGTTATTTATGCTATAAAATGCAAAATTCGTATCAAATAAAAAACAGTTATCTAAACAGTAGCTGATTGTCATGTAATTTTTCAAACTAAAATAGCAATTTTTGTATGTTAAAGAGTTACTATATAATTTCTACTTCACTGTTATTCATATGTTTCAGAGGGTTCTAGTTAGATTAGACTATAATATGAACATAATAATTCGGTCCATTGTTAAAGTTTTTTTTTCCAATATAATTTAAAAAGTAATATTACCGACATATTTGCTATAAATCACATAACAGTATTTATTAAAAGAAATGAAATATTAATGTATATTCTCAGTAGTTTTAATTTGCTAAACCAGGTAGTTTTTCAAGTAATAATTGTCTCTTATGTGAACTGAGGAAAAATATAATTTCCAGCTTTATTTTTTCAATTGGTAATTTTTATTTTCACTAAATGTTAAGTATCAATGTAATCATTTATATAATAACAGATTAGTACACAATTGTATGTCAACACATTATTTATTACCTTAAACTGTCTGGAATTTATTATTATAGGGTCGCGCTTGCGTAAAATTTACTATCGTGGAAATTCAGCCTTTTTGCTAATCTCATCCCTGTTTTTAGCAAAATTATTATTCTAAGAAGTGCAAACTATTAAAATATCCAAATTAATCAACAACAACACATGAGCTAAAAGATGAATTGCAAATTATAGACCAACTCTGTGTTTATGCGATGTTCTAATTTTGTAATTGTGCTGCTACTGTTTGCAACCATTTTTCGTCCTGTGCAAATTTTTATTTATTTAGTATGTTGTTGCACCACCATCACAATTTTATAATAAAGTGAACATAATAAATAGATCAATTTCTTGATAAATTTCTAGTTACTGATTGCACTTCTTTGCGCATAATAATTGATTTTATTAAATACTTTTTGTTTGACTCTATTGTTTTTAAACATCAATTCCACAGTTTAATTCCCCTGAAATTTTTATTTCTGGCATATTTAGTCACAAGTAATGCTGTCACAACTGGATCTAAGTGTTTTTTTTTTTTTGCAATTTATTTCAGTATTTTTTTGTTTTTTAAATCACTATATGAGATTGATCAGCGAGAGGCCCATAAAAGTGACAGGGCTCCCATGGGTGAGGGAAAACCTGGAATTTTCAGAGAATTTTATTTTGACCATAAAAGGGAGAGTTGCATTTTTTTTTTATAACAACCTGAACAATTCCTTCATCATACGTGGAAAATGACCAGTCTTAAAATTTTAAGTAACAATCAGTTTGTGAGATTCGAGTTAAATAATTCTGACTTCTTTGTTTCAAAAATTATTGTTTAAATAATTTGTTTATTTTAACAATCTAATTTGTTTTAAAAATGTAACATTTTAGTCAACTTTGCATGTTACTATGCTCATTCATTGATATTTTTTTGCTCAAAGTCTGATATTTGACACTACAAATAATTAAAAAAAGTCATTTCGGATGAAAAGTTACATGGTATAGATAAAATATGGTCTGGATTTTCACTGACTTTCCTTATATACCTGGAAAAGTCAGGGAATTTTGCCTTCGTAGAAGACTTTTTAATGGAACTAACCTGCATTTGTATTACATGGAGTGGAAAACCACAAAAACCTCCTGAAGTGAGTTCAGGAGTGAGATTGCATATAAGACTGGAAGCATTTTTGTATAAAAATGTAACAAATGTCTCCTTTTGCAGATATTACTTTTGGTATAATAGTCTTAATGGATTATTATTTTATTTTTAGTTGGATATTTTAGATTAACAAAGTAATATGTTTATTTTCTGAGGAATGGAGAACGAAAGCTTGCCATTTATTGCACAATGTTGCAGGAATCTTGAGGCTCACTGTGTGAATGAAATGTAAAATTAAAAAATTATCAGAATTTTTACTATTTGCTCTCAGGAACATTCATAATTAAGAAGATATAAAGTCGTGGTTGCTCAGGGGATTAGAGCGTTCGCTTCTCAATGAGGTGACCCGGGTTTGAATCCCAGCAATATCTGGTTGATAGGGATTCAGCACCCCTCACGCACCGATCTCAGTGCTGACCTAAAATATCTTCAGTAGTTGACAGATCACAGGCTAACTGTGGTAGGTTTTTGTGGTTTTCCTCTCCATTTGATGCAAATGCAGGTTAGTTCCATTAAAAAGTCTTCCATGAATGCAAAGTTCTCCCAATACTTGATCCAAGAGTTCCCTTGTCTTCTGAATTGGGTACAAAAAGTCTTTTGAGTTGAACAGTGGTAGTCCTAAACTCACCATTGAGATGGCTGTACAATGACGCTCTAATATTCACTGAAGTTTAAGATTTCAAGACCATTGAAGCATGTTATAGCGATCTCAAAGAAAATGGTCGAAGATGATTTAATGAAGAAAAAGCTATTTGAAGAACTATAGCTGGAGTGTGAAAATGCTTTCTCTTAATTTTGAATGAGGTAAGATAGTTAAATAACTTCACTTAATGTTTACGAGTAGAAATGTCACTTAAGATTTGGTTAATTTGAAAACTTTATGTAAATTGAAAGATGTCAGTTTTTTTCTTCTTACATTTTATAAGGAGGCAATTATGCAAGATTTATCTGTTTTATTTTGATTTTATAATTTTGCATCATGCATAAGATACAAATGCTCCATCATGCTCATAAATTTTATTATTTATTTATACAAATGTTACCAAATATTTGAAAAATGCATAAGTTTTTATTTAAAAATGCCTCAATGTTAAAAATTACTTCAATTTATTTAAATTCAACAGGCTTTATTTGTTGCAGCTTAAGAAAATTCCCTACCTTTACAGAAATGCAACTAAAATAATGAAAATGTATTCGAAAACTATATATATATATATATAAAAAACTAACTGAAAATTGATCCCAGAGGTAGAAGATACTTTTTTATTAGTTCAGTTCTATTACCTCTTGTAGTTAAGATAAACTCGGCATATAATATTATTAAATTTATTTTTCTATTTCAAATTAATTTTCTTCACTCTATTGAAAATGTCTTTAATAATCTTTTTTCTATTGAAAATGTTTTTGAATCTTCAAAACTTTCTAGTTAATTAGTATAATTTAATGAGTTTTTAAAATTTAAATGTCATATTTTATGTGATTAGTTTTAATTATTTGCTTGTTTTATATTTTTTTCATGCCAAACACATTAGTGTAGCTGAAAGGCCAGATTTAGATAAAATGAAAAACTTTCTACGAACATAAAATCTCAATTAAAAATATTACACTGCTTCAGAAACTACAAAACTATGAAATGTTTGAAGACACTTTCGTCTCCAGTGCTTAACTATAGATCATAATTTGCTTTACAAATCATCTGTGAATCTTAGTTTATAGTTACTTTCCAATTTGTATTCACACAATACACAAGATTTATTCGATTGTTTATGTGGAAATTCAATATAAGTGCGTGAAGCAATAGGTCACTTGTAAAGAACAAGGGACTAAGTTTTACTCCCAAGTTTAAAATAATATGCTTCTGATTATAATTAATATATTTTTAAGAATTTTTAATTAAAAAGCCAGATGCATTTTTTTGCATTATGTGTTTGATAACTTACACTTTAAAAAAAAAAAAATTTGTGAAGAACAAGGAAAGAAAACACTAAGAAATATATTCACAAAAGTGGTTTATTTCATTTAATTACAGATGAACTCTAAATATTTAAGTTTCAAACAACAAAAACAGCACATAGTTACAAATTAAGAGATGAAACTAAAACCACCTTTGTTTCGTCCGATAATACTGTTACAAAACAAAACAAAGAAATGTACTCTGCAGAAGATGGTTAAATCACAGACTAGAAGTATTTCACGTTGAGCAGATATATTTGCACATCAAATTCAAAATAAGGTCTGCATCCGTCACAACTGCCCTCAATAATCTCCTTTGGCAAGCGTGTCTTCTATCAATGTGTTTCTCCCCTCAGATAGTAAAAAAAATGCCCTTGGTATTAATTTTCACACTGGCCAAACAGAGAGAGAAAAATTAAGAAGTACGACGCGAGGGAGACGTTTGTGACTTGCAGATTCTATATACAAATGTCTTTGTTGTTGTTATCAAATAGCACGCAGCTTCTCTCGTAACTTGACTGGGTAAAATGGCTTGAAATATCGGGTGACATTAAATATATATTTTATAGCATCATCAGTCTATAAACAAACGTTGATACTGACAGATCCAGTATAGCATCACAGAATAACTTCAATGAATAAAAATGCTGTACACTTTTCTAAACACACCAACACTCTTTTTGATTGCACGATAAAACAAAGAAAAAACATCAAAAACTTTTTTTTTTTTACAAAATTAATAATAATATATCTGTACATAGTTTGTATAATAATTTACAGGAGGAAATATTTATAGTTCTGTTTGGCAAACTTAGTTAAAAAATAAAATCTAACTGCAACATCAGTATATTACATAAAATAACAGATTTAAAACGAAACCTAAATATTTATGAAATAACAGAATTTTTTAAATTTAGTTGAAACCTAAGTAACAGCTATTAAATAAGAATAAAAAATGTGTTCAATCTAATCTATGTCAAAAATTCATCAAATTTTTTTTCAAGATTATTACTTAAGCATGCAAACAGTAATTTTTAAATGTGTAACCTTTTTCTTTATGTACTTCAAAACAAATCAAAATTCTAAAATTATTCTGTAAAATGTGTAAAAGATAACAATGATTATTTTGTAAATACAGAGCAAATGCAATGATTTAGCTAGATAATAAAATAATGGAAGTAAAATTGGATTTTTACTGTGAAAGATTAAAATGAAAGTTTGTGAAATCAAAGAATGCATGTGGAATTTAGGACCATGTGAGAGTATTGTTAATTGAAGGAGTAAGTGGAGGAAGAAGTTCTTTAACACCTTCACTACTACCTACTAAAGATTCTATAGCAGCACTGCTGCTTGTGTCATTGAACAAAAAACACCCACATCTATCTGTAATAATCCTATTTCTAGCAATTATTTTTTATGCTATGACCCTTATTTAGCCACTTATTCCTCCAATTATTTTATCCAATCAATACAACTTTCCATTAAAGCAATTTTCACACACTAAAATAATTTACCAGCCATATAATCAACAAAAACATTTCCAGTATAGAAATTATTTAAGTATATTCTCCATTATAATCTACATTTTGATTAAAGTTTTGATTTAAATTAATAATAAATATTTACTCATAATTAGACACATATCTTACAGAATGCATTATTTATACTAACTATTTCCAGAGCGAGTCTAAATGCTTTAAAATTTGAACATAAAAAAAAATATTTCTTTTTTAAGGAACAAAATAAGTAATATAAATACAGCAAGCATATTTTTAAATATCACGTTTTAATGAAATAAATAAATGCAAAGAAATAAGTTCAATATTGCATATTGAGTTTTATGATATATTCTTTCATTTTGATTGCCTAGTGTTAAAATGTAACAATTGACTAACACGGAGAAAAGAAATTAATACAGACTACTCTGCTTCAAGTAATCTGAAGAAAATTATTTATTCTTCTCTCAACAATGACTCCCATTAAGTGGAATTTTCAACAAATAAACACTGTACAGGGTAAAATTTACTGGATCTTTTTTAACAAATAAATGCACTGAAAACTGCATCAACATTAAACACTGTGGATGCAACAAGTCCAGACTGAAGCCAATGACTGATCTAATATAAACAGTTTGAACCTTACAAAGATTCACTGACTACTGAAAGCTCTGCAAATGGAATCTTAATGATGGGAATTCAAATAATAGGGAGAATCGCCCAGTAATATTCTCTCCACTATGAAGTTAAAATAAAAGTTTTTTCTCAAGATGAAGTTTCCATGGACATTGTATTGCTATGGTCTTCGTTTTTCATTCTCTGTAGAGACGTTGAGGTAGAAGGTGACGTTCTGTCTGGTGATAAATGGCCTGGAGACAAGACATGGTTTTCGAGACTACCATTAGTGGGAGAGAGTCTCATGCCCAATGGATTGACCATTTCATTGGAGCCTCCAGAAACGTTAGACATAGGCAATAAAGAAGATCCTGGAGATACCATTGTGGGTGGATCCATAACTCCAAGTCCATCACGATACCTAAAAAGGATAGTAAGTTATTAATAAGAACTGCATACAAAAGCTATAAAAAACACTATCTTAAAATAATTTATATTCTTTTAATATCAGTATTTAAATATCACTGTGCATGTAGTTACAATTGAATTGTTTTAATTAATATGGGAGAAATAAAAATCTAACGAAATATTAAAAATACACATGTCAGCAATTTTATTTTTCTCATATTAATTTAAATTGAGTCTAAAGCAAATTTTGGTTTTATGCTGCTTTTAGTGTTTTTCTATTTTGACTTATTGTATTTAAAATTTTATTTTGTAATATTTATTCAATTACTTTAAGTTTGGGAGGTTTCAACCCAAATATTCTAATGGTTTTAAATTCTGGCAGTTCATAGGTGCCAAGAGAATTAAGCTAGTTTTTCTTGGTTTATTAAAATCTTTTAATCAACTTTATTTCTTCAAAGTTGCTGTTCTCTGAAAAACAAATTCTCTATCAAAAGGGATTTTTCGCTCTCTCTATTATTGAAATATTTAATTTACTACTGTTAAATGATAAACAGGTAACAGCTTCTTTGAGTTTGACATTTTTTAAAAATTTTTCAAGAAATACTTAAAGGATTACTTTATAACTTCATGCGATTTTTTATACTTTGCAATAAGATTTAAAGCTTTCAGAGGTTTGGAAGACATACCACGAATTCCGAAAGAAAACTTATATTTTTTAATACCCTATCGTACCAGAAAATCAAGATTGATTTTCTGGCATAGGGCGTTCAAAAATAATAGTTTTCTTTCATAATTAAATCTTATAAAAAATCGCATGAACTAAACATCTCTAAGGTAATATTGTCTATATATATATATTGCTTATATAATAATTGTTTCATGAGAAATTTAAAAAAATTTCAGAAATTCTAAGTGTCTCTTTTATTATTGTAGTGTAGTGTATAATCACTTTAAAATTATTCATAAGTTCAAAATATATATATATAAACATTTAGCAGTAAATTTAAATTAAGTTTTTAGAACATATAATATTTGTATTTAATCAACTACATATTTATAGTGTTATTTATAGTTAAAAATTTGTATGTAACTGACTACAAAATTCACTTAGTATAAATCCTTCCACAAAGTTTTCTTATCTTGATAAGCGTGCCATCTGGCATGAGCATTTAACTACTAACTTTCTACATAAACATTCTAACATTAATTTTAATTGGAGAAATATCTCTGGAGATAAGATCCCTGAAGATTCAATTTAAAAACCTCTTTTTTTGTGTGATCAAGAACTTGTGCCACATGATGTAAGTCAAAATACTAAAGTTGTTGGCACAAGCCTTGTGCCCACAAGGTCAAAAATATATATTATAGACATTATGTAATTTTGTAACTAAAATCTGTTTTTCTTTCTTTTTCATGTTGATAATCTATTTGCATTTGAGATTTCTTACCATAGAGTGCGCATCTCTTGCCGCCTTGACTTCATCATCTGTTTGTATTCTGAGATTCTAAGTTTCTTTCCATCGACTATGCAAGTACGTTTAGGTCTTGGTCTGTATCTGTAATCGGGGTGTTTCTCCATGTGAAGTTTACTGAGGCGGGATTGCTCTTCATAATAAGGTTGCTTTTCTCCATTAGACATAGCCTTCCAACGAGCGCCTAAGAAAAACAATTCATTACATTATTCTTGTACTTCGATAGAATACCATTAATTACTGAGCTTATAAAAATGTATACAATCAGGGTGCATAGCGTTTTTAAAAAGTGCTTATCTTCGATTTTTGTTTTTTAAAAGCCCTTTAAGGTGCTTTTTTCTTTGGGTGTTTTTAAAAAGTGCTTAATTTTCCCTTTTTCAAAATGAGATTTTTCCTTTACCATGTTGATTTTCATTACGAATTATGCAAAAAGACACAGTTCACACTGTTCTATTCAACTTTTTCACAATTAATTCAACCCCAATCTATTTCGGTGTACTGTCAGTCCGTAGCATATGAAAACGCCATTCGTTTTACACGATTCAAAATTTCCTGATTTTTGGCAATTGTTTTCAGAGTATTCAGAAATTGTTTTTATTGTTTTCAGAGTATTCAGAAATAGAATCTGAAAATGAGCGCCTTGAATAATGGTGAATAGTAATCTAGAGATAAATGTCTACTCAATAGAATTATTTTCAGTGCACTGAATAATTCAGTTAAAAAAATGATTGGCTCAATTTAAATAAATGACTTATTATCAGTTAAAAAGAAAGTTATAGGATTTATACTTTCCTAAAAATTGCCAGAATATGAGAAAAGGTGAGCAGATAAGTGTATGTTATTTATAGTTCAAGAGGAAATTATCCTGTCCAAAATAATCAAAAGTTTTTTAGGTCATGATATTTTTTTCATTTCTGTCAATTTAATACTATTTTTAAAAAATATACTGAAATTCGTTAAAATCACGGAACTAATTACTTAGCCCAAATAGTAAGAAAATCACCTTTGCAAGAGAAATTTAAAAATAAATACAAGAACTCACCCAGGATTTTCGATATATTTGAGTTGTGCATGTCTGGACAAGCTTTAAGTATTTTTCGCCGTTCATCTTTAGCCCATACCATGAAGGCATTCATTGGTCTTTTGATATGATTTTTTGGCTCTCCATCTTTCTTTGTTTGGCGAATGATTTTTGCTCCAACAAGTTTATCTATGAAATTCAATTGCGCACATTAGAATTGTAATCACTTTTATATTTATTACTTATTATTTTTCATATTCATTGATTTACTATCTATTTTATTATTCCATAATATTTTGATTCAAATAACATGCAAAATTTATCCATATCTTCGTTATAAATAATTAAATATGCAAAATCTATTAAGTATATTAGCTGCATATTACTATAAATTTGAATTAAAACTAAATTAAAAAAATAATTAATAAAATTTTTTTCTATTAACTCTAGTTACTTCAAGAATAAAAGCAAAAATTTAAAAACAATATAATGAAGTTCTAACTGGTTCAATTTGTATGAATAGTAGCTATACCTACAAATTTTATTCGCAATTAAAATTCACTTATTAGAATAATAAATTTAGTATTAATTTAAGTCAAACTGAAATAACTGGGTTAATGTAATGCTATAATCTAAAACACATTCATTAAATTTATAAATTTAAATTGAGTATAAATTAATTAAGAGAAAACCAATTATAAGAAGAATTTCAGATCCACAGATATTTTGTAAACAATCTACTGGTCATAAGTTATTTACATATTTAAAGAATTTAGTAGTCGCATTGAGAAAATATTTTATAATTACTTTTTGATGTACATTCTAAAGCTGCTACTTTAAAACTTATTGAAAAGTTATTTGTTTCTCATTAAGCTCTCAGACTGTTTAAATTATTAAATTAAAAAAAAGAAATGAAGTGCTTACTTGGAGAAGTTCCAAGATGAGAATCATGTTTCTTGTCTCCCTGGTCCATGACAGGGGATGGTATATCACAAGGTTCATGTGAATTTAATTGTGATAGGTACATATGCAGATTGAAACTTTGAAACGGTCCCCCATGTTGGGGAAGATGACTACTTGGAATTGGAGGAGACATAGCATCTTTTACTTTATCTGTTCAGAAAATGGAAATAGCTTGTTATTGTCAATGCAAATTAAAGGAACTAAACTTTGATATGCAGTAATAATATCATTTAGAACTACAGATATCTATCAACTTAATTATGTATATTATTGTGAAAAATCCTTTGCTTGTTATGCCCTACCTTTTATTGGGCTTGTCATCTTTTAGCTCAAAACTTTTAAATAACAAGAAGTTATTTAAGTAATTACCATGTACCCCCTTGCATAAGTCTATCTCTACCGTTATTTTTAATAAGGAGATAGCAAATTTTGTTGTTTGATGGTTGTGTAAGTCAACTACTGTTGATAGGTCTATTATTATTCCCGTAGACGTTGCATTTCAAATGATACTAGATGCATGACAAAATGTAGAATTTAATTCGTTAAACAGGGTTGAAGACAATTTTTTTTATTGAACTCGGCAGATGAGGATGAAGTAGAATCCATTGTTGAGCAGGATCTGTATGATGACACTGCTAACATTGTTGAATCTGACACATATGATGTTCTGCAATCTTTAAATTTGTAGCTCTATGGTATGTTTTAATTTATTTTTAATACTTTTGAATGAATAAATAAAATTTTCTTAATTTTTTTCTGAATGAAATTTAAAATATTGTTTCTAAAAAACCCTTTATATGTGATGAGAATACAATTGGTAAAAATGCCAAGTTAATTGCTTAAAACAGACATTAAAAATAGTTTTTTAAAAGGGTAAATTGATACAGAGTTATTCTTATCTACCTCATTGGGTAATGCATCAATATTTCACGATCAACAAATGTACGACTTTATTCCTAGTCTAAGTCAATCCATGAATTTGCGTAAAATTTTAGGGGTTGAAAATTTACTCGTAACCCAGAATATATAGTATTATATCCCTGAATATAACGTAATATATCTTGAAGATATGTAAAATGCACAATATTTTATTTGTTGTACATTACAATAATTTTCTTTGTTACAAAAGGCTTGTAAGAATTGACTTTACAGTTATTATATATATTAGTAATATTAAAAAAAAAAACATGATTTCAAAACGTTTTTTTCCTAAAACTACTTTTTTTTTCTTATTGTATACAAATAATTGTTAAGAATATTGCCTAAAGTTACAAATACAGACTTAGATGCTATCTACAACGAGCATAATTTTTTTAAAAATTTAATTATATAAAAATGCTTTAGTGAGTTATTTGTTAAATTATTCTGGGTGTAACTTTTTTTATTCGAATAGAACAATTAAATTTATGAGGTAAAAAAGTTATTAAAGAATAGAAATATTATTTCTACCTTGATGAGCCATCACAGTAGGGGGTCGTAAATGAAGTGGCATTGCAGGATAAGCTCCAGGCATGTAAGCAGCAGGAGTCATCTAAAAAGATAATTTAAATTCACATTATGTTATGTCATAGGGTATTGCACATTTTCTTAGCTCTCAAGCAAATAAAACTTAACAAGAATTCACAAATGAAATGATTTAACAAAGTATGTACAATACATTCATAACATAAATAAGCCAGAATATATATATATGTGTGTATATATTGACGAATATGAATTCATTTAATAATTAAGTTTTTTTTTTCAAAAATTAAAATAAAGCAGTTTTTGTGCAAGGTGATAACGGTGCATTCACTAGTGATTTTAAAACCTTAAATGCATTTATCTCAAAATAAGGTTTTCCTCATTTTACACCATCTTAAACACAATATCTCATGTTGTTTTTAAAATAATTGTCTACAATTTTTTATGAGTATTTATAATTATAACATACAGTTTTTGACCTAGACTAAGAGAAAAGATACACGCACCTTTTTGATGCCTGTTCTTACGCTAAGACAAGTGCTGTTTTTGTTGTTTTTTTTAACTTTATTGATTCCTAACTCAGTGTAAGCACTTGCTTTTTACATAATAGTTCAAAACATAGTTGATAGCCTTTTAAATAAAATCCTCAAAGGAAATGGCAAGGTTCTGGGTGATATAATTTTATTTTTTTTAGTGTGTAGCGTATATGCAAAAAAATGTCTTTATTTTTTCCTAAAAATGGATATTTAAATAAAAAAAGAATAAATTAATAATATTTTTTGTTAGTTTTATTAGTTTTTACACATAATAAAACATATAAACTAGTTTCTTAAAATTTTATTGTACTTAAAAAAAAGTTGTTAAAACTAGTCAGATACCTTAACTGTTGAACAAAAATGTCTCAAAAATCTATTTTTTTAAAGTAATAACTTCTATATATTAGAATAACTACAAATGAAACTAAATTTTCTTAAACGACGAATTTTCTTTCAATTATGCAAATGGGAAATAATTTTAAATACAAAATTTTTTAATGTGTGTATAACATATTTTAAAATGAGTTGCATTTAAAATTCATCATTACCTGCATAGGGGGAGGACCTCTTAAAACATGTGCCATTGCTGCCATTTCAGCCAGCATGTTTTGATTTCTCTGGTGTTGCTGCAAGGTGTTGGGAGACATTTGACCACTGTTATCTTGAGTTCTGTATTCTTGAGGACTCCTTGAACGTAAAGAAATTAATCAATTTAGTAAATTAAAAAAAAGATACAGATTAAAAGCAAAAAAAAAAAAAAATGTAACAGAATTTCATTTCCTAAAAAAAAAAAAAAAAAAAGTGTATCTACTATTTATTGGTCTGGCTCATTTAACTAGTTGTTGCGACAATAGATGGCACCACTCTAATTTAAATTTCATTCTAACATCGTATGCAGAAGAAAACTGTTACATTATATTCAGCCACAAAATAATAAATCTTTACAAGTTTGTATAGTATTTAAAAATAAATCCATAAATTTTTAATTTTTTTAAATAATAATCAAACATTATTTACACAATAAATTGCACGCACACATTATAATTTTACACGTTTTTAAAAAAAGTAGTTACAGTTTGGTATTCCAGGTGGCAGCACTACGATTTGACTCCGCTGAAAATTTTTTTAATTTTTTTTTTAAAATATTTTTTTCATGGAGATTATAGAAAATAGTTAAGCAAAAATAAAGCTTGAAAGAAATACTATTCGAATCTAGCAAACAAACTCAAAAAAATTTTTCAGTTCACACAAATGAATTGAATTGGGTCGTGTACTTACTTCATTTACAAATTGATTTCTTAATAGTTCAAAGTTTGAAAAAATATTGTTTTAACATGTAAAAAAGGGCATTGTATTATAGTTACATATAAAGTATATAAGAATTCATTGAAGTAAGTAAGTATCAATTTTATTAGTATAAAATCTCTAATGACTAAGTCAAAGAATTAAATTTCTTTCCTTTTAATAACCAAATTTTTTCCCTTCTTTATAAAAGAAATCAATTATAATTAAATAATTGTAGAAAGTTAATGCAGTTTAAGTTTAGAACATATTTTTTAATTTTCAAATTACTTTATGTTAAATATTTTTATAGTATCTTAGACCACAACATCTTTTTGTAAAGTTTCGAATTAAAGAAGCATAACTTAAAATTCTTACTTTTGAGCACGTTTAGATGAGCTCCTTGAAATTTTCGGTTTCGAAAGGTTAAGAGGAGCTTCGCTGTCAAGATCAGCATCGGAGCTGCTGATGCTGGGACTTGGACTGGCAATGGGTGGAGCTATAGGAGACGCCCAAGGTTGTGTCAGAGATAGCTATAAAGAAAAATATATAGCAATTACACATAAGGTAACACACTTGGGTTATATAGTGATAAACCACAATTTCAACTTCTTAAGGCGGACAACTATAATTATAATTTTAGTATAAAACCCTACTATTTCGAGATAACGTGTTTCTATGCATTATGTTATCTAGAGAAAAATTTTAAAACTTGCTAAGTATTATATGGAAATAATACTGAGGAACAGTTTGGTGTAAAAAATTGCCAAATCTTAATTTGGCAAGATTTTTTTTCTTTCACCTAGATGAAAATCATTAAAATTTATTAATAATGTTTGATCAGGATGCGTAGGCATTATTCAACAAAAAATAAGCACTTTTCAAGAACTCAAAAAATATTTTTAAGCACTTTAAAATCATAATTAGGCAGGGTTGGAAAGTTTTGGATAATTGACGGTTTTATTTGTTTTAACTGTCATGACAAAAAAAAAAAAAAAAAAAACTTTTGGCTTTGTTTTTGACAATTGTCAAAATTCATAAAATTTTAAATCATGAAAAAACGAATGGCGTTTTCATACGCTAACGACTGACAATACGCTGAAATAGATTGGGGTTGATTTAATCGTGAAAACGTTGAATAAGAACAATTGGAACTGTGTCTTTTTGCATGATTCGTAGCGAAAATCAACAAGGTAAAGAAAAAATGTAATTTTGAAAAAGGGAAAATTAAGCACTTTTTAAAAACACCCAAAGAAAAAAGCACCTTAAAGGGCTTTTAAAGAACGAAAATCGAAAATAACCACCTTTATGCACTTTTTAAATATTAATAAACAAATTACCACAGCTTTTCATTTTTAAAAAAACTGTATATCTTCTTCTTGGTGACATTTTGCACAATTTTTATAATTTAATATTTATGATAATTTCAACAATGAAATAGTTAGAAGTTTATACGGCGCAATGTTTATAATTATGTCAGTAAAACTTAAGTTTCTTTCAAACAATAATTCTAAGTATAGATATTATCAATGCACTATGAATGCATATAAATGCTTAACGAATTCAAATTAACACAAAGCGAATTTCATGAACAACAGTTCTAAGTTTCGAAGATTAAAGCATAACAAAATAAAATTTAATTCATTTTTAAAGTACTTAAGAACTTTTTTAAAGGCAAAGACACCAAGGGAATGCCACCTTATAGTTGGGTCGTTCTGCCTTCTTAGCTCATAAAATGTTAACTACATTACTTCCTGAGTGAAGCTAATAATCTTGAGTTGCGGCAGCTAAACTGGCTTTCTTGCTAAAATATGCAAAATGTATGTAAAGAGGCAAAGAGTGCTCTTGTTCTCTGAAAGTGAACACTAAATGAAGATGAATGGCGGTCGTAGTTACAGCTTACAACCTATAGAAAATTCGATTGAGAATCTCTCAGTAGAGTCATTGAAGCTGAAGTGGGGTTGCTGCGTTTCGCAATAAAGCGTTTGGCCACTCCTGGCGATGATTCGATTGGATTGTTCTTAATTACTACGGAAATAGAATATTTTAATTCCACGAATTGAAATCACATCACCAAGGAGGTGAATTATAAGTATGTGCAATTATCGTCTGCAATTGGATCATCCATTTCTTGTGTGATTTTTAAGCATTATCAAAAATATTGTTGTTAATTGTTTCATTATGATGCAGCTAAATCTCGATTGTCTTATCTGCTCTTGACTTATTCGTGATTTTATTCAACAGCATTTTACATATACAAAAAATGCAAGAGTAATTAACTTTTAATACAATCAGTATTTTGTTCATTTGAAATTTTGTTAGAGTCATTATATTGTTCGATTTTGTTCAACGATATTTTAACAGGGCAACCCTCAACATTTTCATTGTTTTCCTGAATATTTTAATTAATTAATCAACTTTTTACTTTGCATTGATAAATTGTTTTTCAAAAACAATTAAATACCTTGAATTACCGTGAGTTTACTGTATTACGAGGAAGGTGAGTTTTTTACTGTATTGCGAAGTCCCAAATGAATATTTTATGTTAGTTATATTAAATGTTATGCATAAGTAATATGTATATTTTTCTATAAATTAAGAAATGGTATTTTAACACGATAAACACATTTCAGACAATTTTGAGGATTACTTGTGAAATCGAAATCGTGTCTTTCGACTACACGGATAATCGTGACTGTACTTTATTACAGGATGCAAAGAAAATAGATTATGATTACCAATCTGTAAATGTATTGGAAAAAGTAATATGCATATTTTAAATTGAAAATTAGTTGCACTTGATATCAAAAAAAGCTCAATGCTTTGTTTTGATATTTCTGATATTTTGACATTTCATATAATTTTGTGGATTACTTGTGAAATCGAAATCGCGTCTTTCGACTAGATGGATAATCGTGAATGTACTTTATTATAGGATGCAAAGGAAACAGATTATGATTACCAATCTGTAAATGTATTGGAAAAAGTAATATGCATATTTTAAATTAAAATTTAGATGCACTTGATATAAAAAAAAAGCTCAATGCTTTGTTTTAAAAATTAATAAAGCCTCATTTGATAAATGAAACTATTCATCAAATTAAGTTCTACATGCTATCTACGACATTTAAAATTATCTGTGCAATTCGTTGATTTATATGTTATTTTATATGCATTGACTATCCAGTAGTTTTAATTCCTTAGGCAATCTATTCATTAGTTAGGATTTTAAATCCACGGAAAAAAATAACATCGAAATATAAACGAAAGAGCACGGATTTCAATTAGAATAAAAATAATAATCCCATCTATCTTTTAGAAAAATATTGCTGCAACACGTAATTCAACAAATATAAAGAACACAAAAAAAGTAACATAAATCTTCCGATTCCTATGAGTTTGCTACTTATGTTGGCAATATTAGCATTACATAAATCATAAAATAAATCATATAATTAATGTGAAGATATATTAGACACCTACGCCTTCCTCACAGATCTCTTCTTTTATGAGTTGTTTATGCTGACCTTGTAGTAATATCTTATTATCAAAAAATTGAAAAAAAAAAATTCGTAATGTACATAATCTTTATATTTTGTTTCATAAAAACCAACGATCAACAATTCGGAATCGTGTAAGATCTCAATATTTTTTTTAAGTAACATATCGGGAAACTGAATTAATTATATATGTAATTTTTAATGTTAATTCCTTCATTTAATATAAAATATTATTACTAAAAATTAGCAAATTTATCCTTTCATAAATAGTGGCATGATTCTTGAGTACTTTAAAACGTTTATTAAAATAACGGTATTAAGAAAGTGAAAGTTATAAATAGTATTATACTATTAAAAATATTAGTCCATATTGCACAATAATATTGAGCCTCAAATGTGGTTTAAATTTGTTTTAATCTTGATAAGAAGTTAATTAAAATCTTAAGATCCACTAGATATTATTGTTAACGTGAGTTATCTGAGGTAGTAACATTTCTCTTTCTTTTCTACTTTTCGATTTTACGTCTTTTTTTCCCTTCTGATTTTATGTATTTGATAATTATTTGCTCATAAATAACAATGATTTAAATTAAAATTACTCCCTTATACTGTTTGGAAGTGTTTACAATATAAAACCCAATCTTTTAGTTCTAGCAAAACATTTTTTCTAACAATCATTAAGCAAAACATCTAACAAAACATTATTAATCCTGGTTCAATGCATATCAATAATTTTAACCCTTAATTGACCATAAGAGCGGCATGGGACATTTGCTCACTCAATCCAATGCAACGTATACAGCTGCGAAAATTCTTTTTAATATTTATATCACTCAAATTGTTTTGATATCAACAACTAATTTAATGAATATAAATAACCATACGCATATTTATTATAATTACAACAATTTGGAAGTAAATTAGAAATTCTTCCGCGACGTACAGAAAGTACAAAATTAAATAAAAATACAAAGCTCAAGAAAATGTAAGCAAGATCAAGTATTTTTTCATACTTATTAGTTAAAATTTTAAGCAAAATATACTTACATAAAATAATGACTGCGGACTCAAAAGCATTTTTATACGCAAAAAAGTTCTAACAACTAAAAAAAGTTATAAAACTAGTGAAAAGAGGGAGTAATAAGAGAAACGGCTATTCTTCCATGCTGATGTAGAAAGGAACTGAACATGAAACAACTGATCTGAATTTGCATGCATGTGATCAGCCATGAAACACTATTGGTGCAGCTGCAGGAACAAAAACATTGGACGAAAGAAGAAAGGAGTAAAAAATTTATTGGTCATTGGGGGACAGTTAAACCCCTTGGGCTGCCCTTGTGTCGTGTCATCTTACAGCAGTGGGTTACAGGAAATACAATTATACTACCCTGGGAACAATTTTATCTAAGGTTTGGGGATGGGATCTATTCTGCCTTTAAAATGTCACACGGATTGTTTATTCAGTTTCTTGGAAAAGTGTTAGGCATCTTTCAACACTCAGAGACATAAATTTAAAGTTTGTGACATTTACTCGACTTTTGGAATAAGCGATTTGATCTAAGAATGATGGAAGGAATATTACTCTTTTCTATTTCTATCAGTTAAACTATATTTACCATGTCGCCTTAAAGAATTATCTGAGCTTTAAAATGGACAAATAGCTAAATTATTTTAAAAGTTAATAAAACTTTTTTAAAAAATCGCCAATTAGGCGAGATTTTTCAATCTAGAAGATGTCAATCTATAATTCTCAATTTCAAATCATCTACAAACTTAGTCTTAAGACAGCAAGAAAAATAATTGTTAAATATATTGGACGAAAAACTGAAAGATCAGGAGATAATTGTTCTAAAATTCTAAGCTAAAATCCGAAAGCATTTATTTTTATTCCATAATTCCTTAATATATATATTTACGTAATATATTCTATGCTACTCTAATAATCTGCAGTTTAAATTGTTTCACAAAAGAAAACTTTAACAAACGTTATGAGATGGCATCTACAAACTTAGTCTTAAGACAGCAAGAAAAATAATTGCTAAATATATTGGACGAAAAACTGAAAGATCAGGAGATAATTGTTCTAAAATTCTACGCTGAAATCCGAAAGCATTTATTTTTAAACCATACTTCCTTAATATATATATTCACGTAATATATTCTATGTTACTCTAATAATACTATAACCTGCAATTTAAATTGTTTCATAAAAGAAAACTTTAACAAACGTTATGAGACGGCATCTACAAACTTAGTCTTAAGACAGCAAGAAAAATAATTGTTAAATGTATCAGACGAGTAAGAACGACGCTGCAAATTTTGAAAACAGAAGCAAGGGCCTTTATTAAGACCAAAATTGCTAGCTTGCGGCATCAAGTACTAAAAGTGAATCACTACAACCTCTGGTTTTAGTCATTGATGTCGAATTAAGAAGCTAAGTGAAGAATTGTAGCCGACCGAACATCAAATATTTACACCATAGAACAGCGAGTGAATGACGATTATTAGCAGTCCAAACATGAAATTTTAATCGCCAACGAACAATAAGCAGCACTCCGCCATAAACCCCTGCCTCATTAATATCAGGGGCCTTTGAGGCCAATTAAATAACACCCCGACCACAAACAGCCGACACAGTCATAATTTTCGCCATTTGCGAGTTTCCCTTTGCCCATTATGGGTCCAAAAGCCATCTTTTGTTTTCGCACTAAAAATCATTTAAGGCTGAGTTTTGGCGAAGTTTTTGTATTCCCGTTATGGCAACGATGCGATGAATCTTTGTTTCAAAGATTCTTTTTGTACTTCGGTCTGCGAAATCAAATGGCAAGCTATATTTTTTCCGTAAAACATTCGTGTGATTCAATTGCTTCAGGGGTATTTTAATATTCATGAAGAAAGACAATTGTTATTTAAGATTATAAGAAGTGTAAAAGTACGCTTTCTAAGTTTTATTAGCTCCATTAAAAATATTTTTTTTTTTTCAAAACAAAAGTGTTAAACTATGATAATGTTTATATTTAAAGTAAAAGACTAATTTAAATGTCTATTATTAATGTTTATTTTAATTATATTAAAATGTAAGAGACAAATTAAATGTTTATATTTAATTTGTCTCTTACTTTAAATATAAATGAAATGTTTATATTTAAAGTTAGAGACAAATTAAATCATTACATATGTAGAATGATAATCTATTGCATTATTTCACATTAATATAATTCTTATAAAAGATAGCTTCAAAGAAATTATTTTTATTTAATTATGGATTTAATTAACTTGATTAAATGCGTAAGAGAATATTTCCGATTTCAGAGTACTTAAGTAATGTAGAAAAAGTTTTAAAAGTTCATAAATTTAAAAAAAAAATGTACTGGTTATTTATTGATTTTACTATCAGTTTACACGAACAAATAGGTCTATTGAATGGGTTAAATAAAAACTTAAAATAAAAAAACTATTTCATTAGTTTAAAAAAAAATTATTGAAGAGATAATTCTTGTTCAACATAAAAATTTACAATAAAAAGTGATACTAACATCAGAATTAAATACAAAAATTAAATTATTGAAAACTATTAACATTTTCTAAGTTGAAATTTTCTTTCTCTTTCTTTTGGTACTTTAAAAGGACTCTATACAGCGGAAGAAACTTTTCATGAGAAATTCTGTTTCTTCTCCATTGGTTATTTAAAATTTAAACTCAAAATAAACCATTAAAGTTTCAAAAAGCTGAAATTTTTTTCCCTCCAAAATATTAAAATGCAAATAAATTATAGCAAGATCACTTCTCCACTGCGTAAATCTGCTATTATTTGTTTGCCTTTTGGTACTTCGAAAAAAGAATTTTTTAGTTTTTGAAACTTCATGCTTTACTCTATGTTTACCTGAACTCATTTTTCCAATATTTTAATTTTAAATAACTAATGTAACTAAAACAGATTTTGCCGTGAAGCATTTCCCGCGTGGTATAGCGTCTTCTTATTGTTCATTCGGTGGCGTTAATTTAATAATAATTCGGAAAACTATAACCAAACGATCATTTCATTTCATAACCGTCCTTGAACAGCTGATCAAATTTTTGGGGTTTATGACTGCTAATGTTCAACTCCGTAGCCTTGTAATTTTGAACCAAATCCAGAAGTCAAGGGAACAACTAGATCAAAATTTGGGAGAAATTTGCCTTCGTAGAGAACTTTTTGATGGAACTAACCCGCATTTGCGTTACATGGAGACGAAAATCTCCCATGGTTAGCCTGACGGCAAAGGGACTCCAACCAATGATCTGTCTACCACTGAGGACACTGTGGTCCGTGCAAGCCGGTTGCGGAATTCGTATCGACCTGTCATCGCTGTGATTCGAACCCCTGAACCACTACGGCTCCTACTAAATTAACAATGAACTAAGTAATGAGTGGGAGACGATATTCAAAAATGAAGTGTGAGCCATGGTGAACTAAGAAATATAGCTCTCGCCTTCCAATGAGGAGACCCAGGTTCGAATACTAGCCATGACTGCTTGATACGAATTCACGGACTACAGAACTGACGTTAAATATCCTCAATGGTAGACGGATCCCCCTTGCCGTCAGGCTAATCATGGGAGGTTTTTCTCTCCATGTAACGCAAATGCAGGTTAATTCCATAAAAAAGTCCTCCCCGAAGGAAAAATATCTCCCAATACTTAATCCAGGAGTTCCCTTGTCTTCTGAATTGGGTTCAAAATTCCAAGGCTAAGCAGTTGGACATTGGAAGACGTAAACTCAAAATTAGGTTCGATGTTCAACTACGGTTTAAAAAAAATAATATAAGAAGTGTTCTCATTATAATTATTAATTTAAGTATGAAAGTTTTAAATGCAACTCACCCCTGAAGGAGAATTATTCGCTGTTCGCCTATTTATTGCAGTGGTAGGTTGAGGCCTAAGTGGGCCTGCACTACTTGTAGGTGGATTCAGAGTCAAATGGCTGCCATCAAACATAGGCAAATAAGATCCCATCATTCCCTTATTTATGGAATTACCATTTATCTGACGCTATAAAAAATTAATATTAATTAAACTCTTTGTTGATAAGAGAATTTGAAATTTATTACTGTGACGAAATTGTTTAAGTGATCAGAAAATTATTTCATTTCAAATTTTTCTTAAAGATAATACAGAAATGTACATCTCGGTTATATCCGTTTATCGGTTAAAGTCGGTAGCTCTCGGTTAAAGCTATGAAGTCGGTAGGTGAATATTTCAACTCCGACTCTGAGTAGTCTTATGACCTCGACTCCTTATTATATTCAATAAAAAAAATTTTAACGAATCGAAGAAAAATATTAATGATATAAAAATGCCAATAATAATTAATACAATTCAATTTTTAGCATGTATGTTTTTGTATGTATGTATGCTTAGTATGTATGATATTTTAATTTAAATTATAAAACGCAATAAATGAAGATATAAATTTTAAAAAAAATATACGTGCAACACGAGAACAACGTGATATCCATATCTGGCACATACTCCCACACATGTAAGCATTTCCACACAAGAAGAAAATTCTTCAAAAATATCCACACCATGAATTATTTTCCATAAGACAATGTCATCTTATTCAAAAACATTTTTATTGGATATCCATAAACTAAAAAACTATAAAAAATGACGAATTGTATTCATTTGTATTGCTTCTTAATTAACTTAGCAACTCAGCTAAATATGAATTGGTCTTTGAAATTATCGAATTAATAGTAACTTATTAATAACTTCTCAATCAATATAAATTTTTCAATAGCTTCAAAATTATTCTCACTTTTTTTTCAGAAGTTCAACTAAACAAAGGCTCAACAACGTTCAAATGTATATTAAGTTTGTGATAAATTATAATTAAAATAATTGTAATAATACCAATTTGAGTCATATAATTATAAATATTTGTCTAAATAATACTTATTAGATTAAAAAAAAGAACAGAATCGAGCAAACTTTTAAGACTCTACGGCTTTGGTTAAATATATGTATATCTGTTATATACAGCATTTTTTTTTTTTTTTTAACTGCTTAGGGACGCAACAAACATATATTGCGCAGTGGAGAAAGTAAGAAAGATGTCATTACATTCGGGCTACAAAGCTGCGCAGTGAGAGTTTATATGGAAGATGACCTTACGTTTGAACCACTAAAGAATCAAATTTATTGTTTATGATAACCCGTGTTGAGACCTTCTCCCTTCTAGGAAGTAAAGGCCGAATGCGGCTATACTGCGTCAAACTCAAAAGGAAAAAAATTGCGACAATTAGTTTTCAAATAAGTACTGGAAAGGTTACTAGGGTACCTCAGGATACCGTATTTACCTGACGATAAATCTCTAGATCAATTAATTGATTTAAAATGTTTAAGGTAAGCCTAAAATCTGCAATCCGTCATTGAAAATTTTAGGCCGAAACGTTTATGGTATTTAGTTACCTCAAGTTCGTGTATTTGCTGTTCTTGATGAAAGAGTTGCTGCTGTTGCCTTTCAATCAGAGCTTGTCGTTCTCTTTGTTCGGCGCTATTTCTTTCGAGATTCTCCGCCATCTGCAAATGAAGAAAATCGCATTTAAAATCAACACGTTATTCTTATGATTTTTTTTCTTCATATAACATGATAGTTTATAATGACTTATTGCAGTCTTAAAATTTACTTAAAACCAAGTTACATGGCTAGTTTATTTAATTGAATTGAATTAATTTATCGTATAGGGAATCGAATCATGCAAACAATAAGGTGGTTACATATAAAATTTTTCCAAAAAATTGGCGATTTGAATAATTATGTTGTTTGCTTTTTGTTGTTTGCTTTTATGTTGTTTGCAAACAGGAATTTGTAAATTATTTTTTTTACATGATCAATTTGATTATTAACCCTTTCGCGCTGACTGTCACAAATACGTGCCAGCATAAAACCGTATCAACCAGGGTAAAAAGATAAAACTGGTAATCAAAGTAATTCTTTAACAGTTTATTTGTGGCGGAGTTATAATTGTTTGATTTATTTAATTCACCATTACTTTGTTCAAAATAAAACTATTTAGTTATACTTTGAATTAACATAGATTATATATATATGATTAAACTAACAATAATTAAAGTAAAAGCAAAGTAAGTCTGTCAAATTAGAAACGACTACATTTAAGTTACCGTTTTTTATTTAATTACGTCCTGATCCTGATTTTGTACGAATGCTTTTCTGAATCACCCGTCCCCAAGGGGTTAATAGTCAATATAATATTGATAAATCGATGACATTACATGAAACTAGTCCGTAATCTTAAGAGTCAGTCTCAATAGTAGTCAGTACTAGTACTAGTCAGTAATCTTATGAACAAAAAATTACATATATAAATAACAGAAGATAGATAATTTTATTTAGATTACAGAATTAAAGACTGTAAAATAAAATTTATCTGAGAAAAACTAACTAAGATGGGTGCAAATAAATTCAATAAAGCTGATTAAATGTAAAATTCTGTGTTGTCATAGTTACATAGGCATCGTTCAAATATAAACTTTTATTTACAGATTTTTTTTCGAGATTTTTTTACAGAATATCCAGTTATAATTCGACATTATGAATTTCGCTAATTCACATTATCATATGAACTAAATTCCGGATTTCAATATGAAATTCAGTCACGAAAATTCTAATAAAAATTAATTGTAGAAACTAAAATTTTGCCAACTATTAATTTTCATTGAGAAAACGAGGGACCTGAGGCTAAATTTCGTGGTAAAAATGGATGGATGTCAACTACCATTTTTCTGTTCACAGATTTATTATCAAAGTAAATTAATTTAAACGAAAAGTATCAACAAATTTAAATATTCTAAGAATGTTTGTAGTAATGTATCGAACGTGATTGTTGGTTTTGAAACATTTTTCTTTCTGTTGCTCCATCTTATTTTTTGACCTTAAAAAAACTTTTTATGGATTTTCGGGTATCTTTGAGGTTTGGGCAACACAGCTGTTTGGGTTGTAAACATGGATATCACAAAGTTTTCATTGTGTCGAACTCTAGTGGGTGTAAGAGTGCATCGTAAAAATTTACACCAAAACTTCTGAGACGAAAATTGTCTTTCTGCGAAAAAAAAAAATTACAGTCTAATTATGACACTAACGGGTTTGGGTTATAAACAGCCACCCAACCACACATTTATTTCTTTTCTTGGGTATCTGATTACTAAAAAACAAAATAAAGAGTATAACTCGATTTACGACTTTGAGAAATTGCTGAGAAAATGTAAACTGTATCTCCCGTTTTGTTGATCCAACACATAATTACACTTCAATAGGACGTCTACGGGTAAGATAGAACGATATCAAATTCTTAAAAAAGAATTAAAAAATAAAGAATCTGAGTGTGGGAGTAAGGGAAAAATAAGTCCATAATGCTTACATCTCCAAGTCATTATCACGAGATAGTAACTTTTTTTTCCTTCTTCATAATGATGGAATGCTTATCTTTACCATTGCTAGCCCTTTGTCTGTCATCAGAACCAGGGTAAACAATGACTCTCGCGAAGATTTTTTGTTAAGTTTACTGCCACTTGCCGGTTGACCTCAGTGACCTCCAACGAGAAATTATATCCAACAGAATAATTCTGCGGAGCACCAGTGGAATCTAATTACAAGCTATGTAGAGATGTTTATGTCTTCGAAAATTATCGTTTGGCGTTGCCATTGTTCCAAAGAAGGAATTATTTTTCTTAAACTTTTTTATTAAACTGGTGGCCACATTTGTATCTTAGTGGTGTGTGAGAGAGGGTGAAAGTTTATATTCTTTGTTTTTGCTTACTTATTTTTTTACGCCGCCATTTCCGCTGCTTAAATAATAAAACTTTTGTTAGAAACTTTCTTTGGTGGTTTATATTCAGCGGGGATGCGCGCCTTAAACAATGTGTTCAGTCATTTCAAACTGATCAACACTCGAACGGAAGACCACACAAAAGAGATTGTTTTAACAAGAATTCGGGGCGCAGTCACGTAGTGTGGTTGATGACGTAATTTGATGTTCCTAATAACATCAATCAACATTCAGTGATTAGGAATCTAATCACAATTCAATTTTTTGTGCTTCTAACTTCAAAGGGACGATACAGATATTTTGAAATGTCAAACGGAAATACTTAATCAGATTAATGCATAACATTCACAATTATTCTTTTATTTCTCGCTTTGCGATGACTGATGAAAGAAATTTTTTTCTCAAAAAAGTAGATACTTTTCAAAATACTAATGCCATAAAAGCTCATTAGAATGTTTTGTAGAAATTGGAAATATATTTTATTAACCAAGAATAAAAGCTCCGATCTTAATATTGATTAATAGATATAAGTACCAATAATTAAATACAAAATCTTTTCTTTTCTTGCTCATAAAGTTGGAATTAATTGTTTAAATTATGCATAAAAGTTCCATCCTTTTAATTTCAATTTAGTTTGGTTCATTGGCGTTTGTTTGTAGTGTCATATCTGCCAGAACTGGGTATTATACGAAACTTTTTTAAAAATTTATAATCAACTCCATTTTTTTAAAATTACTCCATCTATTATAATTGGGGCACCTTTCGAACTACTAATAATTAAGACTTCATAAAACGTTAGAAGTTATTGCTGTCAGTCACATCAAATTTAAAAAAATAGTCGAGACAGTTTGAAAAGTAGCCATTTTTATAAAATTCGACTTACGTTGATTGTTTGAGCAAACAATATAGAAACTCAGGGTTATTAATTGCATCAAGTTTAAATAGGTCGTCGGGACAATTAGAAAGGTGAATATTTAAAAAAATTCGACTTGCGTTAATTGTGTGAGAAAATAACATAGGAACGTTTAGTTATTAGTTGAATCAATTTGAAAAATACCGTTAAGGCAAATAGAAATGTTATAAAATTCTAATTTTGTTGATTGTTTTGAACTAACGACATAACTCATGGTTATTAATTGCACCAGTTTTAAAAAAGATAGTCAAGATGAACAGAATTGTTGGCATTTATAAAATTGATTGTGTGAGCAAACGACAAAAGTACTCACAGATGCATTAAGTTTAAAAAGATCGTCGGACAGATAGTTGGCCGTTATAAAATTGCACCATTGGTCGATTGCGTGAGCAAACGTCATAGAAACTCAAAATTATTAATTGGCACCAGTTTTAAAAAGATCGTCAAGACAAATAGAAAGGTTGGCATTCATAAAATTGGTTGTGTGAGCAAATGTACTCACAATTGCATATATTTTAAAAAGATCATCAGACACTTAGAAAGGTGGGTCTTTTTGATTGGAAAACTCATTAGTAATATAATATTTTTTTTCCAGATTGTTACTAAAATTATTTGTTCACGGCAAATGTGTTAAATAGTTGGTAAATTAAATATTTCCTTGAGTATGAGAGATAAAAAAATATCGTAGTACCTTTGCAATTTATAATAATTTTTCCCACGCTGGGAGTGAGATGAAAAAATATCATCGTAAGGGAAAGAAAAAAAATCCCTTAACAACACTCGTTCCCATTTCTGTCGCCAAATGAACAATAAAAAAAGGAAAAGACAAATCCCGGTGTTTCGTTTCCGTTTCGGGTGAGAGAAAAAGACAGTAAAATCCAAATCTGGAATTTTTTTTTCTTCCATCATTCCCCACGAAAATGAGTGTCTCTCTAGTTTTTAGTGTCTTTTATCATGTGGTATGCAGGCAGAAGCAGCAACTAGCTGTTACTAGTCAATCATTGTTTGTGACGTCACCGACCACCATAAGTCTGTCAGAGAACGATGCTACAATGGAAACCTTTGTTTCCGACTTGTAGAAGGATGGGTCGACCTCTAACCTCACGCTTCCGATATCGGACAGAGTTGTGCTTTGTCTGGCAGACATTCGAGGAGTTGGCGAAGAAGGGAAAAAAAGGGAATTGCTTATTATTTTCTCTAAGTTTAGAACAAGCAGTTGAGATATCTGGGATGGGTAGTTCCACTTCTAGGAAAAGACATCTTGCATGGACATGGACACTGGCAGTAGGGTTGGAAAGGAGGAGAGCTTTCATCTTCTCTTTCAGATTTTTCGAAGAATGAATGTCTTCTCTTGTTCTTTTTTTGAATAGTGCGTTTAGAATTTTTGTTCTCGGAGCTTTATTAAACACTCTTTTCCTGGCTGCTGTTCCTGCCGTTTGTGGGTAGTAGCGGCGAATTTCAAAGGAATCGATGGCAGTTATGGTGTTTTTGTTTTTCATAGGCACTGCACCAGAACATTTATTCATTTCTTTCCTCACAGGAAGACAAATTATAAGCAAACCTTCCTCCTTTCCGTACATTCGAAAATTGTAGAAAATAAATTTGCTATGAGTTTTTGAATTCCTACCGGGCTTTCCATAGCATCACATTCACCACACTAATTTTTTTTTCTTTGTTATTATATTTTGTTTAAAAGCTTATTAGGAGATATTTCCGCATCGTGATCTATCTCGCCAACTACAGTCACCAAAGAAATTTTCAACGATGGCGGTTCTCTTTTGTGATTTTTTTTCTTCTTTTGTTGCAGATCACGATGCGGA